CCGTTAAAAGTGTGCCAGTTTGTTTCAAATCCGCTTGAATATAAACGATAAAACATTTCGTAGATTTGAAAAACATCACTGATTTCCTTATCCCAAAATACACATTCTTCTCTTCATCGAAACCTAACTTGGACTCAAGATTAAAGACTTAATGGCTGTCCCAATTAAACACCTACTGTCGTATCGATCTGGAATCTTTATTTCAGTTTCATGAAGAACAGTATTACGTATTGGATGTTTTGTGGAGGTACGTGATTAAGGAAGAACTTGATATAAAGATATTTAAAAATAATGTATGATTTCTGGAGTTAGAAGTCCGTTGTAACAGCAGTTATGTCAATTATCTACGGAATGTCAGTTGAATCAGGAAAACTTATTGGATTAAATGAGCATCAAGTGCAGTTAAAAGAGAACGAAGTCAGATATTTGTATCACGATGTAACGAATTTGAGCAATATATTGTCCTTGTAAAAACAGCGGTCAATAACGTCCATCTGCAATTTCAGCTTCCACTCTTTTTATCAGATAAATGCAGCTAGCTAGTGATGACCTTGAACCGTCACAAACACCCTATTGACATTGACATTGATGATGATCAGTTCCCCGATTACACGTACGTTCCACGCTGACATGCTGGTTTCTAAAACACACGGGTGAAGCGGTCTGTAGCGTGGCCGCCATCTGTATCACTTGCCACCATCTCGGTCTACTCTTCAGGACACGGAAGTGCACGTGTACAGGCGGTAGCGCACTTCGTGTCAATCACACATTGCGTGATGGTGGGCGAGCGGCATTATGTTTTTTTACACTGAAAGGTTTTTAAAGCTGGTGGCTATGGATCAACAGTTGTTTTTCCCATTGCAACTTAAGTTGATGTTCTTGTCTACCACGTTTTCGTTGCAAATCCAGGAAGTCTCTGTTAGTCTGAAACCCTCCGCTCTACAGATGAATGTTTTTGTGAACATACTGAACATGTGCATACTGAACATGTGCATAAACAGAGTATGTAGTGGGCATTCATTTCTAAAATCTTCCCCAGTTTTAACATTGGTCCCCGGCTAAATGAATCACCTGGTCGGTCACCTGGATGATTACAGTTTGTCCATCCCCGATCTACAGATATGGCGGATGTACCGCTTACGACATGCGCACCCGCACAGACTCAAGAGAAGGTTCTATGAACGACCCGGGCATCGAGTTGGTGTGCAGTATTGAGATGAACAACACCTACGCAGAGTACCTCGTTAGGATTCATCTGTGAGTGAGTGAGTTTAGTTTTACGCCGCACTCAGCACTATTCCAGCTATATGGCGGCTGTCTGTAAATAATCGAGTCTGGACCAGACAATCCAGTGATCAACATCGATGTACCCAATTTGGAACCGATGACATGTGTAAACCAAGCCAGCCAACCTGGCCACCCGATCCCGTTAGTCGCCTCTTACGACAAGCATGGGTTGCTGAAGATCAATTCTAGCCCGGTCCTCGTTAGGATGAAGACGGCTGGCCTTTAAGGTGAACCAGAAATCTTTCTCATTCTGATAAGGTTCAGTCCCTTCCCACTTGATTTTGCGTCGAAACGTACGTATGTACAATGAGATCAATGAGTGTTCAAGAGATTGTCAGTCGATGGTCAGCGTTGGCACGGTATCTTTAACGACATCACGGTGTGGCGTGCTCCCTTTGCTACCAAGGCCGTCATGCTTGTGGTCTTGACTCAGAGGTCCATCCATTTTACCACACAGAGTAAACAGTGGCCGTCATGGAAAATGATAAATAGAAGTCTTTGGAATGGGCTTGAATGCAGCCTTGGGCGTATCCATGGCAACAAACTTAACATTGTGGATTATGATAAATCCAGTGTTTTAATATAATTGAATTTCTTATCCCTTTTAACCCTAGAGATTATTGACAAACATGCTATATATGCGCACCTCGCTTACGGAATGTTACGATTGGATCCCATGTACCAAGTTGTCCGACTCCCCACTTCCTGGTGGGTTAGGTTTGGTACCTCCCTATCGGTAGACTGACATGTGTAGCGTACCCTGGTTTGAGCCAGTATCACAGCCCTGCTAACACTATAGTTAATACAGAAGGCTGCAGTGCTGGGGAGTCCACGCATTCTCTGAAAACTTCTTGGATGGTTCTGGACAGCACTTCCAGGGAGAAGTGCAGGATTACTGTGCCAGAACCCAATTTGCTGTATTCAGTTTAAACTGTAACAAAAGGTCATGTAGTTTCCGCCTAGATACTACTGAAGTCACTTACTCATCACAGACAAAGGTTTCTGTACTCATAATATGCAAACAAAGCTAGAATGTTCATTGTTCGGTACCAAATACATTATCACTTTGTAGCCCGATAAGTATGACATATGACTGAACAAACCAAAATAGGATTGTGAATGTTAAACACTGATCCCAACTCCACATTCCACTAAGTCACAAATACAACAATCAGCATCACCAGGATGTGCAGAAGCAGAAGCAGAGAAGCTAGGTACAACACAACCCCGTGCTCCAACATACATGCAGTACAAGTACACTACTGTACAACAAAACCAAGAACGCCCTGGGATATAAGCTTGAAATGATCACTGGGCCATTATGGACACACCATTTTAGCCTCTAGCTGCTTACATAGCATCAAATATAATCAAATAAATAAATGAAAGTAGCTGTGGATTAAAAAACTCAACAACACTAGTTGGGGGAAATGTAGCGATTTATTATTTGATTTATTCTATCCTGCATGATCTCATCGAGCAAAAAACTGTTTCTCCCCGTTAAGGTGTCTTTCTTGAGGCATGTTATGTTTGAGGAAAGAAACCTCTTACAGTTAGAATGTTCTTGTATACATTTCGACTTACACTTATAAATATTCATCGTCTGTAGACATAATACACTGATTACTCGAACATCTTGCTACAGCGACACCTTTCTAAGCCGTACACATTTTTTACTTGATCCATCAACCAGGTTGTTATGTATAGCGACACCATGTTTAAACGTACTTCTTGTTAACGCCGTGCATAATTAAATACGATGCCATGTTATCTTCTGACAAGTTCCATAACGACACTATGGCTTATGATGAACTCCGCATGTCTCGAATTACAGACAAGAAAGTATATATTCCAAGTACATTGTTTCACCGTGAGTGCAAGGACAGAAAAACTCCAGTGCAATATTGAACGAAACCTTCATGGATACAGGATCCCATTATGTAAAGTGTTACAAATTGAAGTTAAAAGATGAATCATTATCAGACGCTGTTTCCATCGTCAGAAGAAACCTCTGGCTAACCACATGTACACACATTTACATACCACGACACTGAACATCGGAATAGAAAATAAATGACGAAATGAAAGTTAAAAATAAGCTGTATTAGTATCTACTCAACAGACACAATCACAAAAACTGACGTAATCACATAGGGCGAAGAATCATAAATTGTTGTCAGAGGTTTTCAGAGAAAATGAAAGCTCGTTTACATAAACTGAATAGCAGTGTTAGTGGACGGACATACGAAGAAAGTCGAAATTTACCGATCTCCTCCAAGCCATTGACTAAAATCACGAGTGTATTCTTCTTCTGGATTCGTATAGCGTGGACCTAAACGTAAGTAAGGGGTATATCACAAAGATCTTATGTTTGTAATACTGTAAACTAAACACCAAACGTACGTAATCGATATATCACAAATATCTTATGTTTGTTTTGAAGTTTACCATAACACAAAACGTGAGTAAGCGATATATCAGGAAGACCTTCTGTTTGTCACACTGCACAGTAAACACCAAACGTAAGAGAGGGGTATATCACAAAGATGTTATGTTTGTAATACTGTAAACTAAACACCAAACGTAAGAGAGGGGTATATCACAAAGATGTTATGTTTGTAACGCTGTAAACTAAACATTAAATATAAGCAGGGGGGTTATCACAAAGATCTTGTAATTCTGTTTAATATGGCACAAGAACGTAAGTAATGGGTATATCACATAGTGAGTGAGTTATTATTTAACGTCACATCGGCAGTATATCACATAGATTCGTATGTATGCTAAACACAAAACCACTGCTACCTAAGATTTGGACAGTAGAGTTAAAAATAACACACAAATATCACATCAGTTCCAAGTTAAATAGGATCATAAACTCGGCGCTAAAATTATCGGAACGTGTGATAGTATCCAGCCCAACATGGGGTAGATATATGATGAATGGATAACTGATGTGATGAATGTGTCAGATATAGAGATGTTGTCAGCTAACGACTTTGAACATGTGAAAAATATTGATTTTAGTGAATAATTACTGCTATTTTCGTCTCAGAATAAAGATTTGTTTCCATCAGAACGATTTGCATAACTGAATATTTCAATGACGCACAAAGTAAACAGATAAGCCTCCTCTTTCATAGCTGGTTGAACACATACATGTATGTAACACTATAAGGCAGTTTAACACTTAGTCATAACGGATGTCACCCCATTTCAGACACATACATTTGGGGACTCTTGTCCAACGAAATATAAAATAAACAAATAAAATAAGTTAACAAATACATGTACATTATTAAAACTGATAAAAATGAGAAAGGAAATTAAACGAAAGTAATGACACTTTGGAACACATTCATTGTCTTTATGTGATTATTGTTATATTTAAAGGTAAATCTGGAAAATGGGTAGGTAACTTGTGATTGTACTGTGGACAATTACCATTCAGCAGCCATACGTCGTGCCAATGACGTAATGCAAGTCTGCCATGAATGACCATATTTAGCACTTACTCAACGGTGTCGCTTTTTATAGGGCTGTAGGTTCATGAACATTTTAATCATGTGATGGTTGAATAAACACCGATGTGTCAGTATCATATAATCGCAAAAAAACGCATCAGTGGAGCAAATAATAAATAGCATTACAACATCGCTTCACAGGCCAAGCATAATGTAAAAAAATGTCAATTACATTGTGCTGTTTCTTACCTCGCCATTGAAGAAACAGAATATAAGGGCGACAACTGCTCCTTGCGAGTTCGATACGACTTTGGCTAAAATCTCATAGTAGAAGAATCCCTCCCATTCTGCGGGGGGTCGGTATATGACAAGGAACAGCTGAAGACCAAACAGTGGAACCAGGATGAATGTCGCCTTCAGTGCTCTCCTGGAAACACATCAGCTACAATTAACATGATTGCCCGATGAAGTCAGTTTGAACAATGATTGCGTGTACTAACGTTCCTATATCTCAGCGATTCTCAGTTTTGGGTTGAAGCCATATGACATCACAGTGCTTTACTTATGGGGGAAAATACGATATGACGTCATCAATTGTTCACTAGTTGATTACATGACGGCATATGACCAATAGGCTTCCAACAGTTATTCTAGTGAACTCGATACAGATAACCCGTTATTCCCACTAGCTTGTTGGCTATTCCCTAACTATTACACATCAACCGTTTCCAGCTGGCCCTGTTCGTGACCTACGGCCAGATACCCATTGTCCGGTGATTTAATTTCGTGTCAACATTAATTTGTTCGTGGTTAAATATGCAGGTGACCTAGTTCTACGATTTTGTGTCTCCATTCTACCATAACTGAATTTAAGTATTTAATGATATTAACAAAATAACTGAGTGACGCTTGTGTGTTTTGAGTGGATTGTTGACCTGAAGCAAGGAAACACATTAGTGTTAGCCTATACACCGTCTCCTGCCGTATATATGCTCAACCATTGTTGTCTGATATGGTTAAACTGTACTCGAAAGTATTTCAGGCACTGAGATTCTGTAGCATGGCTATTGTTTGTCAGCACGAGCAGGGGAGCCCTAAAAAATTTGAAGCAAGGCTTTTAAGATTTAGTCATGACTTTACTACCATGACGTCACATCGGTCATGATGACGCAATTGGTGTAGTTATAGGGTTAGCTCACGGTTGTGCCAGAACCTAATTCTAGCATCTATTGCAGCAACCTAAACTGCATTTCCCCACACAGAATATTACATAACAATGTTTTAAAACCCTACCGAAATGATGGGCTTATTGCTTAGAACAATAGCTTTCGTTGAAATTCATTTTTTAAAACAGTTGTTTCAATCAGAAGTGGTTGAAATCTCTGACTGACACTTAGAATCGAACGTTTTCAAATCAAAGACAGTTCACATGCTATTGCATGGCGATAACTGTTTGTTTGTTTATTTATTACACTACAAACAACAACAACAGCTGTTACATTGGTCTGTAAATGATCGAGTTTCGACCGGACAATCAAGTGACTGATATCGTGAGCATCGATCTACGCAACCAGACTACGATGACATGCAACATCTAAGTCAATGACCTTATTACAAGATCAAGTCAGTCGCCCCTTATGACAAACACGGGTTGCAGGAGACCATTGCTAGCCCGGATGTTCAGAGCGGCATCAGCAACTGTTCACTGTCTACAGTACGGTAACTCTGAGGCTTGATACAGTAGCTCACCTGTAATTACTGGGTTCGTTCGGATGAGACTGAAGCTGGGTGAGGAGGATGCGTAGGATACTAGCAAGGAAAAACAGGTTAATCTGTAAGGTAAAAACGTGAGTTAATTACAGGTGAAGACTGATTATTCCAAATCATTCTCTGAAAGTAATCTTCATGCCATTTTGAGATTTTACAGCCGATGTCTAAACAAAATGAGACATCTAAAGCCGGGAATCAATTATCACATACACTTGGAGTGAGATAATGTCACGTACGTGCTTCCATATAACCGCTGATTAACACGGAATCGTTCAATGGAATCTTTTCAGCAGAGATTTCTTATAGACGTGGGAAGGATTTTGTCGCTTTTACTATAATTATTACTATGAATATTGAAAGGGCGTGTCTCCTTATCTTGACGAAAATGAGAGCAGACCTGACTATGTCAACGATTCTTTGTTTCAGTGGTATTTGGATGCCGTGACATGAAATGTGACGTTATTCCAGTGACCACTCACCACAATACATAGAAGATTGGGTGTATATATGATCCACTCATAACCTCCCGCGTGCCGCACCCAGCAACTGGACGAAAAGGAAAAAGATCAAATGATAAAACAGAATCAATCTGTATTTGCTGTAGATTGCAAGAATCCCAAATCGTATTGATACGTAAGTAAAAGTGTGAGCCACAGACGCCAAGCAAGCGAGTATGGCTTATAATCGCTTTAGAATTATTTCCATCACTTTGGGGATGCTTCCCTCAATATACCTATATGTGCTCCATTGAAAGATTCCTAGAATTTGAGTAACAAGTCATGACCTTGACTCTCAGTTACTACTTTTGCTTTGCGATAAGGATTTTTCCCGAGTTCGTCGTGAACACAAGGTGTGGTCATAGTAGATTTTTAGTGATGCCTGAAATCTTTGTTTTAAGGTTGGAAAATGTATTTGACTCCGTGACTTTTCATTGTTTTGTCTCAGACGCGAGTGCAAATTGCAAATTCCCCAGACATTCGTTCTTGCAAAAGACGATCCTGTTTTTGAACTCTATAACACATTAGCATCACAAAACTATCACCAAATCGTAAAAACTATATATAACGTTGAGCCCAAGAGTTCAAGTAGAGTTCTAAAATATCTGGATGGGCCGCTTCACACATGTAGAATGGGACAACTCGGACATTACACGGCTGACGGTATCTGGAAGGTAACTGCATCAGGTTGTCGCCTCTATGTCCCCGGTGTCTTTAACATGAGCCCACTGAAGCAGAGTTTGGATGAAACAGAGCCTCATCCCTGCTGCATCATATAGCGTTGTTTAACTCAGGATGATGAATTCAAAAGGTCACAGGTGGGATTATAGACTCTCGCGCCATTTAAGACACTGATTCACACGTTTGGGTCGCTTTATGATGGCGCTGTTCGGGTATTGATTGTGTTTATTGAGTGAGTGAAGGGTTGCATTGCTCTCGGATGCATTAAGTCTCCTCTGTGTCTGTTGGCCTATCGTAATGAGATATACATGGCAGCCGTTCAGACCTGGCATATCAATACTTAAAGTTCAGTTTGAAGGCACAAATGTCAACGGTAAATTGAATTCATTACCATTCGAATCATGTGCTATACGTATCTCTTACAACCATCTTGTCCAAGTACTCTTCGCGAATATGTGTTAAAATTGTATATTGTGACCATGAGCATTGTGAATGAATTAAACTTTCAACATACACATGCTACAGGCAAGTGTAAATGACTGAAATTTTTACTGAGGAAATTTACAAAACGATAAAATATTTTCGTCTTTATGTAAATCTCTGAAGAGCACATGGCTATTTGTCTCATAATGATCACGAATTCCACACATTTTGATCTTGAACTTACATCATCTGTAACTGAACTGACAGGGTTAAAGGACAACACAAGTCAGAGTGTGATGTTCTTGCTTCCACCAAAGCATTGTCAGTGTATTGCATAAGTGCCAAAGCTCATTAGAACTAGGCTGATTATTGCTATTTAAACATCTGTCATTTCTTTAACAGTTAGTAAAAAGTAATCTGTGGCTTGTTAGTTTTGAGTAAAAATATGCTGATTTTTATGTTGCGTGAGTCTTGCTTGACAACGGTATAAGAATCTATGCCGAAACGTCGCATCATAATATAATAAAGAAGTTGTTATCCATAAAGTATCATACATTTCTTATTATTCCTCAATTTCTAAAATGCCAATCAAACAGATCCATGTTGTGCTGAATATAACAAATCTATTGATTTTCAAAGTTTACGTGAGAGATACCCACAGGCTGTTATTTAGGAAAAACGTTGTTTGAAAGTTTGACATTCAATTGTAAACAATAACATAACCATTTCACTTTCCATACCGACCTCTATGGTTCATACATGTATATAATATCGCTACCTTTGACTGAAACTCAAACACATGGCAACATACACTGAGAGGTATTGGCTCTTTGGTTTTCATGAAACAACAACTTTTGCAAAACGATGCACTTGAAATATGCTTCTCATGTAAAATGGTTAAACTAGAATCATTTGATATTAATATTACATCTAATTCAAACCATAAAATAAGAAGGAAGGGCAGGGTAACAACTAGGAAACATCTGTTTGATATGACACGACCAGGGAATCGACCCACTGACTTGGAGCTCCCCGGGCAGACGCTCTATCCACTACACCACGGTGGTGATGGGTTATAACAATAAACTACAAACTACCGCTACTTAGAAAGAAAACATTTGCTTGAATAAAACCATCAAAAGGGGATATTTTAAAGTTAATTTGAAGATTAGATTTCACAACCAGGTCGTTTTGAAGGATAAAAGTTAACACGTCAAAATTGTCATATTTCTCGTATCAATGAAGGTCACGCCTCACCTCTGGTCGTTCTTCACAGCCCGTATAATGGCATACACAATTACTGGCACCAGCGGCCCCACTGAAAAACAAGACGGTAGTGTTAAATACGCCATAGAACCAACTCCTTAACATCAGCTACATGAATGAGTGAGTGAGTGAGTTTGGAGAAACCCACGGGCACAGCTATGGCGTTGACAAACCATGGACACTGTTACACTGGAGTCGAACCTAGTATTTCTGATACGAAACTGTCAGCCGTTCCCACCAGTTATCTACCAATAAGGTCATCTTAAAGTAGAGTTATTGAGGACAGTAGATACAGTTACCCACCCACGACGGCGGCAGTGTCTCTGGTTCGGGACTAAGCCTGTATCACATCACAGTTGTGGGGCTCCTCAACGCGGCTTAACGCTGCACATAATTCGTGTTTAAATGTTATGAAAGCTGAAACCAACACGAAGTAGTGTAACATGAAACGCTCAACGACCATTTGTAAAGAAGAAATGCTATCGTTTTTCAACTACAATGTGAAAGAAACGAATAAAACTCATATTCGGTGGTGCCAGAGAACATCCTCTAATCCGAACGACAGCGTTCCAGAGTGAAATTTGAAAAACAACAGCATTTGTACAACAAGTTTCCTCAATCATTGATTCCAACTGCCGCCATCTGTATATACAGTTGCCCCATATTAACCTACTGGGTCCACGGGACTCTCAGTAATAACTGTGGGGTCCACTGCATGAATATAGTCGTAGGTGGCTTCCCACCACTCGCTTCACTTGATTGCGATAAACTTTTCCATTGCACATGCCCAGAGGGTCGTTATAAACTGTTCGGTGGAAGAAAGTAAACACTTGAAAAATGGATGTGACGAGCAATTACTAGACGATAGACAGTCGCCGGGTAACTGCAAACTGAGTATTCCAGTGAGAGCCGATCCTGTCACCTGTACGCTTACTTTTGCCCGCCAGATATCCTATTCAGCAGTTCTTACTTGAAACCAAATGTCAGTTGCATGTAACATGTAATTTACAATTTTCGAAAATATTCTTTATTCATGCAGCCATACGCTATTTTTTTGTAGTCCTTCACTGAGTGAAAGGGGGCGGTGGGGTAGCCTAGTGGTTAAAGCGTTGGCTCGTCACGCCGAAGACCCGGGTTCGATTCCCCACATAGGCACAATGTGTGAAGCCCATTTCTGGTGTACCCCGCCGTGATATTGCTGGAATATTGCTAAAAGCGGCATAAAACCATACTCACTCACTCACTGAGTGAAACCTGCGTCTATTCTCTATTTGTAAGGCTTAAAGACGCAATATTTGGTGTTCCGTAAAAACGTACAGGCGAAAACTGTTATAACAAACATGGATATAACGCCTGACTATCAGTCACTATATGGTTTCATAAATGTATTCTAAAAGTATCGTAAGTTACTTCTGTATGACGATTAAACTGTTACTAGTATTGGGAACATATTTTCTCCAACACAAACGTTTTCATATGTGAGAAGCAACCTTGTCACTCTCAAAGAAAGTCAGGAAACACTGGCAGGGCAACACACAACAGTATCACTGTAATTTGAGGTAAGTGGTATGGAGAAGGGAGCGATGGGATAGCCTAGTGGTCAAAGCGTTCGCTCGTCACGCCGAAGACCCGGTTTCGATTCCCCACATGGGTACAATGTGTGAAACCCATTTCCGATGTCCCCGCCGTGATATTGCTGGAATATTGCTAAAAGCGGCGTAAAACTAAACTCACTCACTGAATGGAGATTCAACTGTAACACCGTCTCCAGCATTTGTTGACAGGGGTGATATGTACTTCTTTATATACACACATGGCATACACATCATAATGTCAAACCCGTGAAGATCCGCGTTAGAAGGAAACTTCAGTAACCCATGCTTGTCGTAATTAAAAGAGGCGACTAACGGGATCGGGTGGTCAGGCTCTCTGGCTCGTTGACACATGTCATCGGTTTCCAATTGCGCAGATTGATGCTCATGCTGTTGATCACTGGATTGTCTGGTCCAGACTCGATTATTTACACACCGCCGCCATATGGCTGGAATATTGCTGAGTGCGGCATAAAACTAAACTCAGTCAGTCATAATGTCAAACTGATATAGAGAGTATTTAGCGAGTACACCTGCTCGATACATCTCCTTAGAATGTATGTATGTGAGTATTCAATCCATGTTCGATTAACCAGTCGTAGGTCAAGATGTTCCGACCAGCGAAGTTCATTACAATAATTCTCATGTTGAACGTGTAGCAGTTGAACGTCGCCTGGCATGTGTGGTGGCCAGGCTAACGGTAACTCGCCACTGTAAACACTACATCAAATTCAGAACCCCCCTTATTAAACCTCTTTAGTAAAACCGTTAAAGTGACAAAATCGGCATTTTCGTTAAATGTTGTGGACACAGATTACTCCTGTAATTGTTTGATTCCTTGTCCTGAGTGCTTCCCCGAAGTAGAGTGCTTTGAAATATGGGAGAATCAAGATTTAGAGTCAGCATGAAATGGACCCTAATGTCGGGTTAATAGACTAACATCTAGTCTCTGAAATCAGTGAGTGAGTGAGTTTAATTTTACTCCACACTCAGCAATATTCCAGCTAAATGGCAGCGGTCTGTAAATAATCGAGTCGGACCAGACAATCGAGTGATCAACAGCATAAGCATCGTTCTACTCAATTGGGATACGATGACATGTGTCAACCAAGTCAGCGAGCCTGACTACCCAATCCCGTTAATCACCTCTTACGACAAGCATGGGCTACTGAAGATTAATTCTAACCCTGGATCTTCACATGTCTCTCTGAAATGAACACATATTATATTATTTTCCACATATTCTAGATTTACATGGGCTTTCTTGGATATATCAGTTTGTTTCAGGGTCTGTATGACAGACTCGCAGGATAACAATAAGTACCATTTTAACGTGTCTGTATTAGGTTCTTTGTTCAGTGCCCGCCCGGAATCCCCACGTGGAACGACAAAGGAACACACGTATTAAACAGTGACGTGTTAAAACCATATAAATGGAAATGTTTTGCAGAAGAAAGTTGTGAACAATGAAGAAAGTTAGAGTAACTAAACCTTACAAGTGCGATTGTGTTCCGGATGTGAGTGACCTCAAGGAGGTGAAACCTTGAAATTCAAGTTACTTGAATTAAAACAGCAGACTGACAAAAAAGCACCACCACAATTTAAAATTTAAATTGTTCACCTTCACCCAACCAGGAACTCCTATCTGGAACACGTTCACCTAACCTACACGATCTCTAATCTGGAACGCGTTCATCCGACATACAGGATCTTCTATATCTGGAATGCGTTCATCCGACATACAAGATCTCCTATCTGGAATGCGTTCACCTAACCTACACGATCTCTAATCTGGAACGCGTTCATCCGACATACAGGATCTCCTATATCTGAATCTGGAACGTTCACCATACCTACAGTTCATCCGACATACAGGATCTCCTATCTGAAATGGATCTAACCTACACAAGATCTCTAATCTGGAACGCGTTCATCCGACATACAAGATCTCCTATCTAGAACACGTTCACAGGATCTCCTATCTGGAACGCGTTCATCCGAGGAAATCTTCCCTAACCTACTGGAACGCGTTCATCCGACTACAGAATCTCCTATCTGGAATGCGTTCATCCGACATACAAGATCTCCTATCTGGAACGCGTTCTAACCTCCGAAATCTGGAACGCGTTCAGGGATCTCCTATCTGGAACGCGTTTACCATAACCTACAGGATCTCCTATCTGGAACGCGTTCATCCGACTAACAGGATCTCCTATCTGGAACGCGTTCATCCGACATACAGGAACCTATCTGGAACGAGTCCCTATCTGGAACGCGTTCATCCGACAGGATCTCCTATCTGGAACCGTTTATCCGACTGGGAATCGGAACGCGTTCATCCGACATACAGGATCTCCTATCTGGAACGCGTTCATCCGACATACAGGATCTCCTATCTGGAACGCGTTCATCCGACTAACAGGATCTCCTATCTGGAACGCGTTCATCCGACTAACAGGATTTCCTATCTGGAACGCGTTCATCCGACATAACAGGAACTCCTATCTGGAACGCGTTCATCCGACATACAGGATCTCCTATCTGGAACGCGTTCATCCGACATACAGGAACTCCGATCTGGAACACGTTCATCCGACATACAGGAACTCCTATCTGGAACGCGTTCATCCGACATACAGGATCTCCTATCTGGAACGGTTCTGATTTGATTGCTTCTAATCTGTCCCCGAGGCCCCATGGCCTTGACCTCGCAATAGCCATCTTGGAACTTATCCTGCCTTGCAGGTATACTTAGTAAAACTATTATCTGCTCAAAACTACAAATCACAACCTTAATCAAGTGGAGGCTTGTAGGCATAAACGGATCTTTGTTTGGCATACAGAATCCAGTTAGACCCCGATAACCACATTATTCCGTCAACATGGACTGCTTGGCTATGCCTACATGCAGATAAATACAATTCAACAGAGACATCGTGCGCTAAGACAACTCACAGACACGGAAGGTTTGAAGATAATAAACCTAAAATGAACCAAACCATTTTGAAAGGTTTTGCTCCTACGATATTGCATAGCACTTAGCCACTTACCGAATCCTCCTATATAGTATCCCAGCAAGGACTTAGGCACCTTGAATGCTTGCACAATGAGTCGATGTAAGTGGAAACCCTCCAGAAACATCCACAGGAAGTTGACGGTCTGGGCGTATCGGATCAAGGTGTAAAGCAGCCGGCAGCCAACCTGGGAAAACAATGATGACATTGTCATCGATGAAATTGACCCCAAACATTTGTTCGTAAGATTTACGTCCCTTGGTAGTAGCAGGATCTGCGGGCCATCTTTTCCAATACGAGCACCAAATCCGTGCTCCGGGTAAACGACTGTGGCATCTATGCAAGTTGTCCTCTAATGTGATGTGATGTGATGTGATGTGATGTGATGTGATGTGAGGTGACGTGACGTGACGCGACGTGTGGTGAGGTGAGGTGATAAGAGGTGAGGTGTGTTGATGTGATGTGATGTGATGTGATGAGGTGAGAAGTGAGGTGTGTGATGTGAGGTGAGGTGAGGTGAGGTGAGGTGAGGTGAGGCGAGGCGAGGCGAGGTGAGGTCGAATGTCGCGTTCAAGGTCATATCGCTTATAAGGCGATGTGCATGCAACAAAGATACCGGCTCAGACACAGTATACTGACACAGACAAGCAGTTCTCTCAATGTCGAGCAACTGACGGGATAAAAGAAATACCATCTTTCACTGTCTTTCCTGCAACAAGGAGATACAACCGCCCCACTAAAGCAAGGAAGCAGTTTCCACCAGCACTTTACCAGGCGTCACATAGAAACTTGTCTCATCAGGAATCACGACGGGGAGTAATTTCAGAGAATATGGAGAATTTAAGATTTATGTGATTTACATACAGGTTGATCTAACAACACAAGCATTAGAGATGGTAAATATGTTCGCATGGATACATATTGTTGCATGCATACCAGCTTGGCATAAATACTTCACGAAACTACAAGATGAATCAAATAAAAATTTGTGAAGAAAATAGAAAAAATATAAAATCGACACGCTGAAAATTGACATTGACTGCTCTACAGAAAAAGTGTGCGCAAAACTATTAATCCACTTTATCGTTTACAACGATGTAAACTTTCGGCCGCATTGTTGTAGAACAGTTATGGCAAGCGCCCCTGGAATGGCGTGCTACGAGTACACACGGTTTCACGTAGACAGTTCTAACTTGCACCTACATATTGACGTCATCGCGTCAGCAAAATGATTAAGTGAATGAACCTTCTGGTAGTGCCATCTAATTTGTCTGACTAGCCTGTACGCAACTTCCCATAGACAAAGACCAGTTCATCGCGTGTCTGAATCTGAAGACCTACTGGCATCAAGTGTCAGGAATACACCAACCCGTGTTCCACAACCAGTGTCTGTCCAGATCTATACCATCAGCCATTTCCCAATTTCACTTGTATATGCAATAAATACAAACTATGGGCATAGCTATGCACAAAATGTAACCGTCTGAGAAATATAGATCGACAAGTATCAAAAAGAAATTGTAAGCTTGGCGTAAATTTATACTGGTAATATATATAGCAGAACATGATCGAGAACGGTATTACGTTGGGAGTACGACTTTGTGCACGTTCAAGTGATTGATCGTTCTGATAAATGGGCCATAAATGTAGCAAAGCCTTGGCCGTCTACATATTTATAATCACAAATCGGTATAAAACACATTTTATGTGCTCTAAACGTCGGTGTTATGTAAAACACATTGACAAGTCCCGAGATCATTTATTATACATCTGTGCATGTTTGAAAATGAAATTCTGTTCACAAAACCAATATAGGTAGACCCTGGTTTCAGATGCATGTGTAAATGTCAGATAGACAAATGGACATGACGTCGAAAGGTAAGAGACGTTGACATGAGAACAGGACCAAAACTCTTGGAAAACTATGATGTAACAATGTCATTGTAAGTTATAGTTTGACCAAAATATTATTGGGAATGAGGAGATTGCAAACTATAGGATGATTAAATCAAAGACCAAAGGTTCGTCCAACAAGCACTGCTTAGATAAAGCTGCAAAACAGTATACTGGTCAATATAATAAAGCTTTATTGCGCCGCGGCTTACTGTCTGTCAAGGAAATTATGATTCATACTGTTTCAGTATATCATCACTACCAATATTTCATTTTACGCATGCTTTGGAGATTCGATTAATTGATACTGTCTTTCATGATTCCTTCAAATGGGAAGGTCAGCTTTTGAGCCATCGCAGTAAATACTTTGGATAATTGTCTTGCTGGAATGCCAATCCATTACCATACAAAACTTAATAAAGCATACAGCTTTATGGATCACAACTTATTGTTTATTGAAGTTTTTGAAAGGCATTTATAGTTGGATGTACATGAATACATGACACGTTTTATGGATAAAAAGAATAAAAAAGAAGTTGTTATCCATAAAACGAGTCATGTATTTATTGTTTATTGCATAAAGCGAGGTTCCTACACCATGTTCAAGCTAAAACATGTGCAAGGTTACACCGAAACATCGCTCTGTGCAATAAACAAGAAGTTGTTATACATAAAGTGCTTTATCAGTTACTCACCAACTTCTAGAATGATGATCCAACAATCAGACAACACCTGTATGTTTGGAAGGAAAGTCCCCGTAGAATATCAGAGTATACGTACATGTCACCTTCAGATACACACAGTCTGCGATATAGCCGGGCCAGTAAATCTCCAAAGTCACTGACCCGAATGGCTTATGAATTTCATGCATGGCTCATTTTGTAAACATATCACTCTCTCCGACTTGTTAAGTTTTAATACACTTTTGAATCATGTAAGATTGATTATGGTCTGGTAAAAATGTTCAGCATATATGCAGCTTAGTTTCTAAAATCTAATTTCGGGCTAGTGAAATATTTTGTTAGCTAGTAACTTTAAGGCATAGCTAGCCCGACTGGCTAGCAAAATTTGGAAACTATTTCGCACACTGGATACACACAATAGGATGGCACCCACCATTGATACCCTGACCTATTTATGAATTTTTGACTGTATTTTCGACGCTGGAAAATTGTTATTTTTCGGTAGCTTTGGTTTGCATTTTAATCAGTGAACGTAAGCTTGTCCCAATTGAAATTTCAATCCCACAAGCACAATGTCGCTCCTGCTGGTGAGGTTCTAGGACACCCTCATGAACGTCCAGGAGTAGCATGTCGATAGCTCCTTCTCCTCACACAGCAGCATCTCCATTTCTGTCTTCCAATTTGATTGGCTCGCTCCTAGGTCTAAAGTACCAATCAGAATGCGAGTTATAAACCAGCTTCAAAGTTGGGTTGGCAATATCAACAACACGGCTGCCAGATCATTGATTACGACCGAGTTGGAGAAAAATTCAATATTGAAAAACTGACAAGCCAAAAAAACAAGCCCACAAAAATCGTTTGACGAAAAGGATTTTTTCATGTCCATTAAAACATGACTTTGGTTTCTAGGAAATGTGAGTTACCTCCCTTACCCTTTCACCGGAGGAAATTTGATTTATGGGTAAAATGTTAATGAAACTCAAGGGCGGCTAATGGTCTCGGTGTTTGTGTAGGTTTGAGATCTTATTGTGTCTTGAGAAGCGGGAACTGCTTAATTATATTTATCATTGTTGAGTTCATTCTATTCTATGCGTCTCATTTATACGCCATCACAGCAAGTCACCTTCTGTCGCTAACAGTCAATTTCACTGGCCTTGCATGCTTCCCTTTTGTTCTCAATTTCATCTCCACTCTCAGTACGCTTCAAAACACAGTACACAGTTGATACTGGAATCTATGTTCTCTCTGAAAAGACCAATACCGATCTGATGTCTTGATAGCACAATTAAGAAAGAATCGTTCGTTCTCCAAAGCTGTTTTTTGTAGAGTTGATTCACGTCTGCAAGCATGTTTGCCAGTTTAGATAACTCTGATCATACTTACAGTTTACAAAGTTCCTTGAATCAAAATTAGACTACGTTCTACCATGTACATACAATTTGATATGATTAAGTCTGATGGCCAACAGTTTCTGGTCAAACCTGCATTGCAGTGACACAGTACGGATGCTTTCTTGTATATGTCAGACTATCAACGTCGTTTTGTCTACAGGTGCCACAAACCGTCTTGATGAAAATGTACGCGTGTCCTACTTATTGTTATACCTGCTGTGTTGTTGTACCTGCCGTGTTGTTGCACCTACCGTGTTGTTGTACCTACCGTGTTGTTGTACCTGCCGTGTTGTTGTACCGTGTGTTGTTCCATAAGCTGCACGTGTTGTTGTACCTACCGTGTTGTTGTACCTGCCGTGTTGTTGTACCTGCCGTGTTGTTGTACCTGCCGTGTTGTTGTACCTGTGTTGTTGTACCTACCGTGTTGTTGTACCTGCCGTGTTGTTGTACCTACCGTGTTGTTGTACCTACCTGTTTGTCGTGTTGTTGCACCTACCGTGTTGTTGTACCTGTTGTTGCCCTACCGTGTTGTGTTGTACCCTGCCGTGTTGTGTGTACCTACCGTGTTGTTGTACCTACCGTGTTGTTGTACCTACCGTGTTGTTGTACCTACCGTGTTGTTGTACCTACCGTGTTGTTGTACCTACCGTGTTGTTGTACCTACCGTGTTGTTGTACCTACCGTGTTGTTGTACTTACCGTGTTGTTGTACCTACCGTGTTGTTGCACCTACCGTGTTGTTGTTGTGTTGTTCCGCGGTACCTACCGTGTTGTTGTACCTGTGTTGTTGTACCTTGTTGTTGCACCTACCGTGTTGTTGTACCTACCGTGTTGTTGTTGTTGTAACCTACCTGTTGTTGCACCTACCGTGTTGTTGTACCGTGTTGTTGTACCTACCGTGTTGTTGCACCTACCGTGTTGTTGCCGTGTTGTTGTGACCCATGCTGTTAACCTTGTTGTTCTACCGTGTTGTTGTACCTACCGTGTTGTTGTACCTACCGTGTTGTTGTACCTACCGTGTTGTTGTACCTACCGTGTTGTTGTACCTACCGTGTTGTTGTACCTACCGTGTTGTTGTACCTACCGTGTTGTTGTACCCCGTGTTGTTGTGTTGTTGTACCTACCGTGTTGTTGTACCTGCCGTGTTGTTGTACCTACCGTGTTGTTGTACCTACCGTGTTGTTGTACCTACCGTGTTGTTGTACCTACCGTGTTGTTGTACCTACCGTGTTGTTGCACCTACCGTGTTGTTGTACCTACCGTGTTGTTGTACCTACCGTGTTGTTGCACCCACCGTGTTGTTGTACCTACCGTGTTGTTGCGTTGTTGTTGTTTACCTACCGTGTTGTTGTACCTACCGTGTTTGCACCTTGTTGTTGCACCTTCCGTGTTGTTGCACCTACCGTGTTGTTGTACCTACCGTGTTGTTGTACCTGCCGTGTTGTTGTTGTTTTGCACCCACCGTGTTTGTTTCCACTGTACCTTCCTACCGTGTTGTTGTACCTGATGTTGCACCTACCGTACCGTGTTGTTGTACCTACCGTGTTGTTGTACCTACCTTGCCGTGTGTTGCAACTCTACCGTGTTGTCTCTAATTCCGCACCCTAATACTGCCGTGTTGTTGTAACCTACCGTGTTGTTGCTGTACCCACCGTGTGTTGCTACCGTGTTGTTGTACCTACCGTGTTGTTGTACCTACCGTGTTGTTGTGTTATGTTGTTGTACCTACCGTGTTGTGTATTGTTGCCGTGTTGTTGCACCTACCGTGTTGTTGCCGTGTTTGTAACTACCGTGTTGTTGTACCTACCGTGTTGTTGTTGTTGTACCTACCGTGTTGTTCTACCTGCACCTGTTGTTGTAACTTCCGTGTTGTTGCACCTACCGTGTTGTTGTACCTGTTGTTGTACCTACCGTGTTTGTACCTACCGTTGTACCTACCGTGTGTTGTTGTACCTTCCGTGTTGTTGTACCTACCGTGTTGTTGTATCTACCGTGTTGTTGTACCTACCGTGTTGTTGTTGTTGTACCTACCGTGTTGTTGTACCTGTTGTTGTACCGTGTTGTTGTACCTACCGTGTTGTTGTACCTACCGTGTTGTTGTACCTACCGTGTTGTTGTACCTACCGTGTTGTTGTAATCCTGTTGTACCTACGTGTGCACCTGTTGCACCTACCGTGTTGTTGTACCTACCGTGTTGTTGTAAAACCTACCGTGTTGTTGTATGTTACCGTGTTGTTGTTGTACCTACCGTGTTGTTGTACCTACCGTGTTGTTGTACCTACCGTGTTGTTGTACCTACCGTGTTGTTGTACCTACCGTGTTGTTGCACCTACCGTGTTGTTGTACCTGCCGTGTTGTTGTACCTACCGTGTTGTTGTACCTACCGTGTTGTTGCACCTGCCGTGTTGTTGTACCTACCTATCGTGTTGTTGTACCTTCCGTGTTGTTGTACCTACCGTGTTGTTGTACATGACAGTCTGGTCCTTGGGTTTGTCCAGTCTGTCCTTGTACACGAGGACGTCCCACAGGATGAGGATGACGTTGGTCAGGATGAAGGAGGCGAAGAGGCAGAGATGCAGCTTGATTCGCTGTTGCAGCCGCAGTTGTCTGTGGGAGACAGACGCTGTGCATCACTGATCAGTCACATCATTACACACACATGATGAGTGGATGTGTTACACCATCAAACACTGAATAACGAGATCATATCAGTTAAGTGTTGATACGAATATTGTTTTGAAGATGTACGTGGATAAAGTGACACTCATTACCCGGAAATTCTACGGATTATGACGTGAGTGACTTGTGACAGCCCATTCACATAAGTTCAAAGTTCCTCAACATGTCGTAGCTGACATCGTCTATGCTTCAAGATACGAGTCTGTCTAAACCATACATTAACACATATTCATCTAGAAATTTCACAGTGACCATTCGTCAAATTGTTGAATAATAGGCCATTGTCCCAATTGTGAAGTCAAACCCGGGAACGAATCAATGCTTCAGCTACCTGTCTGTCCAACAGGTGTGCTGGAATACAGGTACCCAGCACTACGTATCAAGGTATGCATTTCCTGTCATTAACTCTATCAACAATGACGTACCTGTAAACGACGAAGACGATGCAGGCGGGGACGAGGAAAACGATGCTGATGGCGTTACAGGCCACGCCTACTTGAAACAACGTCATGTACGTCTGAAACAAACACGGCCAATGTCATCGAAACGTCGGAACTCTTGACGAACATGCTGTCGGTAAACATCATGAGCAGGCAGTGAAAAACTTAATATGGTTGTCCTTCCGGTATTGTTAGTCATGTTGTAAATATTCAGTACATTCCGACTGTATAACAGAAGCTGAGTGTCGAACGAGATTTTACAATCATGGTCGCTGTATCGCCATATTGAATCTGGAAGCGAAACAAATCTTGTCGCGATTGTAAACAGAATCGACATTTTATCCTAACAAAATTTGCATCTATCACGGATGCATCATACGTAGTTCGGATGTGAACGTGACATGTTTTGAGATTTGTGGGTATTACTGAGCATTCAGTGCGTGGGAATTTCATTTGATGAAGGTTTCTGGTTACCCGTTTATGGAATTTCAGTTACTCAGTTCAGTGGAGTCATAATCTCATTGTTAGTTCCCTTGGGAGTATACAACCTACCCGTGAGGCCCTAGAAGAGGGCTGCCGCTCGACCAGGACGCAGTACGATGTGTCAGGAAACACGTGTGTAACAGGACCGAATGCAGTTGATGACAAATGTGCACATCAAAATCCAAAAATATCAAGCACCACTGGTAACAATGAAAGGTTAGGGATCAAATCAATACCTCTGACACTGAATTAAAATGATAAAACCTCCTTTCTTCAAATGTTTTATGGCAGACGTTCTTTGGAATAAACCCCTCGTAACTCCAGCATTTGATAAAATACGACGTACAGAGCAAGATTGTCTTGTAGAACGGCCCCCAGGTGAGCTAAACTTTAGCCTTTAGGTTTCGTTCAATTTCTTCTGTTCCTCTTCTCCCCATCGAAAGCCCAGGTCGATTTAATTGTCTCCATAAAACGCATCTTGATACCTCTTTCACCGCCATGCTATATTTTTCCATCCCTCTGACACTAAATTAAAATGATAAAACCTCCTTTCTTCAAAAGTTTTATGCCAGACGTTCTTTGGAATAAACCCCTCGTAACTCCAGCATTTGATAAAAATACGACGTACAGAGCAAGATTGTCTTGTAGAACGGCCCCCAGGTGAGCTAAACTTTAGCCTTTAGGGTTCGTTCAATTTCTTCTGTTCCTCTTCTCCCCATCGAAAGCCCAGGTCGATTTAATTGTCTCCAAAAACTCATCTTGATACCTCTTTCACCGCCATGCTATATTTTTCCATACCTCGCTTCCTCCCCTAATTACCCCGCACAGGTCTCGGGTGCGTGTCAGACACCACATCTCGTCGGCTGTCCCCCACGGGCGCCGCGCGTGCTGGATCGCGCCAGGCTGGACTGTAACTTGTCGCCCAAGGTTCCGGAACTCTCGTAAATCTCCGTGAGATGATCGAGTACCTATTCATTTGCTTCTCGGCTTGTAATGAAGGTCATGTGACCTAAACTGGTTTTAAAGAAAAACACGCGTTGAGACGTGCAGTAATTAAGAGTAACATTAAGTTGCCATGGATGTTTGGGTAACCTTAGAGCGGTTTGGGTTATGATAACCTCCCGACTATCCGACATGCAGTTGTCAAGACAGCCGATGACGACATTTCTGGTCCATAGCAAAACTACTGCCTCTCACCTGGCAATTGGCTATTTGTATTTGGAAATTTTACACCCATCTTCCACTGTATTCATGAATTAGTTGTCAGGAGAAGATGATTAAATCAACTATGAATTTGGACTTCCTTTGGGGCAATCCTGGGACTCCTGCCTGAGAGAAAGACGGTGGGGAACACACAGGTTTCAAATACTGTACCGATGTGGGGATAAAAACTGGCCATTGACGTTGAGAGTGAACGCTTCAGCCACGATGCCACTTCCCCCGACCCACTCCAACATACCCACTCTGCTCCCGGCGGGGAAGAAATCAGAACGGTTAGAAGCCAAATTAGAACAATTAGAAAATGATTTTTAAGCTGGTTGCAAAACATGATTTCTAGTAGACTAGTGTATTTTCTCCATCAGATTGCCCAACAAGATCTGTGTGGTAGTATTACATTGACTTCACGGAGACCAGATACACGAGAAATATGTTCACAAATATTTTCGCAAATAGCTTCATGGCTGATCATACCGTTTCCACAGAGCGTCCTATTGCCATCTGACCTATATCTACAGGTCATACCTTACGCAATATCTCCAACATTCCGCACTAAGTGCCACTCACGCTATACATGATCAAAATAATTGATTTAACCTTTACATAGATGAGAATACAATGAGGAATTTATACCTTTCACACTTTGTCCGCTTTTTTCGTTAAATGAGCAATGAAATTAAAATTCCAAAACTTTAGCTTAATCTCACACGATGTCACGTAGTCCTCTGTTTATTCCACTGTGGAGAATAAAGGATCACTTGATGGTGTGCCAATTACATGTTAATGTTTAATTTAATGTTTTAAAGAGTTTTATGACACCTGTGGAGCATAATGTTCCATAAAAGGGCCAATGAATTTTACAGCTGCTTATTTATTTTCAGCCTTGCCATTGGTTGTCTGAATGGTGGGAACAGAAGATAGCGGATTAGACCTGTTCTGTATCAGTTCGGTTTATGAAGAAAGGTGCCGAATACTTTTGGAATGGAAATCTGATATCCTCGTTGGAGTAAAAAGGATGTAAAAATAATGGACGGGTTAAATTGCTAAAGCCGCTGACATACCAGAGTCGCACGCTCGCTGTCCCAAATTTTCAGCAGAAAAGGGGAAATAACTCTGTGCCCTATTTCCGTCTTGGCGTTGCAACCGGTTGCTGAAAGTGCGGTTTGCCATAGGTTTATGAACAAACATGGCTGACGTTACACGCCTTGGGATCGAGAAATACAAGTTCCTGATGCACTGTGGAGGACTACTTACCCACATAGTCCGTATTTCACGTTCCTAGTCTTCAGTAGAGGCATGATGATGCCCTGTCTCTTCAAACGATTCTTCAGCAGACACCAACAGTTTTCAATTCTTATTTTTGCATCTGGTGACTGTGTTAGCCATAGCATGCCATGAATAGTATTTCTTTGGTTATATTAGGTAACATAACGCTCCCTATCAAATGGGTCAGTGGTTGTCTTCTAAAACATAGTTTTCATTTGAAAAACAGGCCCCAACACAGAATCTCAATTTAAATATCAACATACTTCTGACCATTTATGTTGCCATCAGTTAGTACACCTACACCATTCCAAATAATTCCATTCCATCCCCAGATCACCAAAGACAGTCGGGACGGGCACCCAAGACACAAATATTGAGAGGTGTACTCCTCGCCGGGTTTTTGCCAGACCAATTATGACTTCACATTCACCACTGAATATTACCTTTTCCCACTCAACTCTACACCTTCGTTTACCCCTGACACATGCAGGTTGTTTTCTAATTATTTTAACCAAGCAAAGTTTCCGTGTGTCTCGACGCTTTGTCTATCGAGATCGCCATCTTCCAGGTGTACTTTCTGAAGAAATCTTTAAAGGGCATTTAGAAGTGGAATGCATAAAAAATTAAGATTTATGAATGTCAACTTCTTTATTGTGAATAACACGACGTTTGGGAGTGTATGCTTGTTCCTTCATCAGGCCACTCAAGCATACATCGTGTTATTCACAATAAAGAAATTGATATCCATAAATCTTGCTTTTCCCACTGCCAAAGAAACAGTATTCCTTGGTAATCCGAGTTCCCTTGCAATTTCAGATTTAGCTTATATCTTCCCGATACTTTGCATCCATCACGTTTCTGTGGCGATAAATCTTTTGATTTCAGATTGATATAGTCTGAAAACACCGAGCAGACGATAGGAAGTGTCACGTGACCTTCACGTGATGTAACAAGAACGATAACTGCATATTTGGTTAAAATCATATCTCGGTTAATCGTCATTTTTAGTCACTAGTATTACTTATATTTCACAACTACATGTAGTTTATTAAACAGGGGCCGCCATGTTTGTTCAGAAATCTGTAGCATACCGCTGGAAATTGGGTTTAACGTCGTGCTTGAGAATATTTCGCTCATATGACGACGTGCATGCGTGTGTATGTGTATGTGCGGTTGCTTGTACTAGCCCAGACTTAAGCTGGTTTTATAGTGCTAGCCCACTGAGATACCATGCCGCAGTGAAGCAAGAATACCCCACTCAGACACATTATACTGACTCCAAGCCGACCAGTCCTTGTTGTACCCATTAATGCCGAGAGCCAGGCAGGGACCAACGAGTACCATATTTGGTATAACGCTCTCCGGTCGGACGCTCTAGCCACTACACCACGGAGGCGGTCATTGTTGCATTGAGACAGCGTACACATCAGTAAATGTTACTTTTGCAATTTTAATTTTCCTTGCAATTGAAATTCTTAAGGTAAGGTGAAAACCAAGACATAAACAGACATAACTTTAGCATTCCTTAGATGAATGTGCTTGTTTGTTTGTGGTTTAACGCCGCACTCAGCAATATTCCGGCTATATGGCGGTGGTCTGTAACTAATAGAGTACAGTATGTTATTGGTTCTGCACTGAATAGTCAGATTACTATGACACAGACAAAGGCGCTCGGAGTCAACTGTTTATAAAGTTAGTTAGGTTTTCTGTTTATAATGATAGGGCAACTCCCAGTAGTGAGTGAGTGAATTTAGTTTTACGCCGCTTTTAGCTATATTCTAGCAATATCACGGTGGGGGACACCAGAAATGGGCTTCACACACTGTACCCATGTTGGGAATCAAACCCGGGTTTTCGGCGTGACGAGAGAATGCTTTAACCGCTAGGCTACCACACCGCCCCAACTCGCAGTATGTTTGTGTCGGCGATGTACTAAGAACTTTGAGGGAAATATTTACTCATTATTAAAGCGTATCACTGAAGTGCTGACAGTGTGCTTCTACCAGCGTGAACACAGTCAAACACGTTACACGTTAGGCGTATTATATAAGTGGTAGTATAACGTGATTGATACTCTGTAGATCTCTTATGCAATGCTTATAACACTGTCGTATAAAAATTAATGAACTGGGTGATATGTCTAACACAATGACAATTAACTTGCTTATTCTTTGCATCTAATTGTTATCCGAAGGAAGGATAACAATATATGGATGAACAACTTCTTTATTGCTGTTGGAGAGACGTTTCGGTGTCGCTAGTGCTTGATAACGGTGTTAGAACCTACACCGAAACGTCGCTCTCACAGCAATAATGAAGTTGTTCATCCATATATTGTAATCCTTCCTCCCTGCTCCAACTTTTAAATGCCTCTCAAAGAAGTTACTTGTTATCCGATTTATGTGGCCATTTATGTTTTAAAAATGAAGCAAATATATCCAAGAAAGCCCACGCAAGTCTAGAAAATGTGGCAAGTCTAGATTTCCTCAGCTTCTGAAAATGAAGAAAGTCTCAGGGCTCCTTTTCATTATATTATATTTCTTTTTACTATGAACCTTTTACAGTAAAATATATTCATTTCAGAGACTAGTTGTTAGTCTAGTTTTAGGAGTGCAAGCAACGTCTCTAAAT